ATTTGTTCTAACATTAAATTGTATTTTTCTTCCTGAGCAAATTTATACTTACAGTACTACCGAGATAAATAGCATTATCATAACATTTTCTTTGATGGCCCAAGACTTTTGCACAGTACTGTAACTGGCCTACTATTACCTATGTTTTTTGTCTATGCTGTAAGCTACTCAAGTAGTAAAGTTAAATGATGTGTTCAGAACACAGTGAGAGATGCAGGTAGGTGTTAATGCATGGAAATGCAGCATTCCGGAAGCCACATGACCACACTGGGCTCCCCTAAGGCCAAGATGCATCTAAAACTGAACCCAGGATGCAGGTTTTGGCTAAACCTCGAAGAAGACCAGCATTAATCGAATTTGACACAAGCTCCAGAGAGACTACCTAAGCTGTTATTTCAGAAGGGCCAAACACTGCCATTTGAATCCTTTTCTGTGGAATAATCCCATAATGCAGTTTTGCGGTGCTAGGTGCCATGTTGGGTCAGGAGGCTCCGAGTCTCACCCGTTGCTTTATCCGTGGTCTGTCAAGCACATAAGTCAGTGTTACGCGATACATTTGTACCACACAGGCTGCCTCCGGAACGACTCGGAAGGCATTCAAACTCAAATGCCTTCCCGGTTGTTGTGTCTGTGGGTCCAAGGTTGGCACGCTGCCTTTAAATGCTGCTGAAGACATTCGCAAAGATTACAGGGCATTCAGCGCGACGCCCACAATGGCCCTGCGAGCCGGAGATGTCAGTGCCAGTCCTGGCGTCCGCTAAAGACGGCCGGCGCATGGTAAGTCAATATGGAGGGACCCTGCTGACACGAGATGAGAGACCAGCTTCTGGAGGCGTGAGAATGTGCTCACCTCAATGCCGCAGAGAAGCCCAGACTGTCCCAGAGAGCCAGGCCCAGCCCCACACTCTCCTAATAATCTGTGCTTTTCCGCTATACATTGTTTTCTTTTCCTTCTTTCCTTTTCTGGTCACCATAGCAACCTCCTTGGGCATGCACCAGCTTAGTAATGAGAATTTTCCCAGTGAATTTCCATCACAGAGCTGCAGGGGTTTTTGTTATAGATGTTTTTACCCACAGTAGCAGGGTCATTCAGGGTGAAAGACAGCGTGACCATTGTGCTGGGCTTACATGCGACTGCAGCACTGTCCCCCTTGATAGATGGCAGAGGACCCCGGTTGCCTTATATCATTTCAGCAGGGGTCTTGGCCGACTCTACAGGTGCCTCTTGATATTAGCAAGAGTCTCAAAATACCCCTGTGACCTAAAAATACAAACATCACGAGATGAAGACATTTTGACATGTAACTCTAGTGTAATCACAGTACAGCAAACATAAAATAATTCAATATTTAGTTTTGAATTATCATCATTTAAATCCATTTTTGCATATTTGCTAGTTGTGTATTGTTTAAGAGGTTTTTTATTATGGTAGTCTCACAACCAAAGGCATAATTTTGTGAAATATAAAATTGAAAAAAAAAACATCTAAAAAAATGATGGTCTGTGAGAGGTACAATGTTCATTATAGATCTGTGTAAACAAGGTACATTTCTGTGTATGTATGTGTTAGGGTTAAGGATTGTTCATTCCAAGAATGTCAGGTAGACTACCCTTGAAACAATGACAAAGAAACAGTTGTTATGCTGAGATATATAATATTTCTCTTAGACAACATTTATCTGAACAGATAAGCGATTCAGTATTCTTCAGTTCTAGCACAGAGAAGCATGGTGCTCGATGGTCTGTTCAGGGCTGTCCTAAGCTCTCCCAGAGAGGGCTAAATCTGTGAAGGCCCCCCGAATGACAGCCAAGCCCAGAAATCAAGGACACCGTGGAAGGACAATAAGAACCAGTAGTGCTGATAGGAATCTCAAGGCTCAGTAAAGGCTGGTACTCAGTCCCAGATCTAAGTCTAGAAGGGATCACAGTCATCTCCAGCTTACGGCTTGAGAAGGGCCTTTACTCACGGACAAGCCAAAGTCCAAGAAGGACATGCACTCATTTCTATGTCATGGCTCAAAAACAAGCCTGTTCTCATCACGAGGTAAGGGCTCAAAAAGGCCTGAACTCACCCCCGGGTAAAGCCCCAAAATCGGCCAGGAGTCACACTCAGGTTAAGGCAGTGGAATGGTCTGCAATCACTCCCAGGGCTGGAGAACAGCCTATGCTCAGCCACACTCACTCTGTGGATCTTGCAGCTGGCGGGGTTTTGCCACTCAGGGAATACATTCCGCAGTCCAGCGGTGTGTCAAGGAACGGCGTCCACATCTGAAGAGACACGTGATTTGGGCCAGTTCCTCTTGTGGAGAGGTGACGAATGTCTCAGTGAGGTCAGGCTTGGGAGGAACGGCCGTGATGGCGTCACATCGACAGAAAAAAAAATTAAAATGACACCAAGAAGTGGCTGAAACATAAAGCCAGGCTGGTAATGTGGCCAATAAAATTTTAACAGAAAGAAAAACACTGAAGCTTAGGAGAGGCAGCTGTACAATACCAGGTACAGCGATGTAGGGCATAGATACCTGTTTACTTTACAGTGGGTTTTGCTTGCCAGTTTATCAGCAATACATAATCAGCCCATTCTCTGCATGCATCTACATATTAATGACTAATGAATATATGGGATATTTTGTGACCTCAAGCCAGAAGAGCCAAAGATAAGCATAAAAATACATTCGAGGCCGAAGAAAACATTTTCTACAGCGTTGCCTTTTTCAATGCTGAAGATGCTAAAGAAAACAGACCACAATTATTGGGCATTGCTTAGTAACAGCAGCTGACAGTGATCTACTGGTAAGCAGGTTTTTCAGGGTGAGGGTTCGAAATACTCAGAATAAAGAAACGAACGCACCTTAAATTTACCACGGTATCTGTACACCCCACCCTTAAGGGTTAGGTGGCAATACAAAGATGTCACCTCATCATGTCAACGTCTTTTCAAGTTGACCTGTCAGATGTGCAAGTTCCTCAGTTTGATTTAAGTCCAGTAATTTAAAGTGAGGAAATATTGTATTTTATTATGTTTTCAATCACTGGTGACATCTTTTTTTTTTTTTTTTTAGTTAGGTGCAGTGAATACTTGGTGTGGGACTGTAAGGATATTGTTCCCTGTAAAGTGACCCCTTGTAATTGTGTCTGTTCATCAGGTATCATCAGGTATTGAATTGATTAGAGCTTTTGTGTCCCCTGAATAGCATTTGCTTCGTCTGTCTTTTCCTGCTTAATTAAATTTTCAAAACTTCTTGCAGTGGCAAGCTAATTTATATCGGGGGCATTGAAGACAGGAAAACTGGAGAAAAAACATTCTATAATATTAATACATTGTTATATTTTTGTATAGTGGTATTTCGTTCTATTATTAGACAAAAAACAAAAAAACAAAAAAACATTTTGACCTAATAAATGTTTGGATGACGTATGAAACCCAGTCCTTAAAAATGAATTTTTAGTAATTCATGAAGAATTACAACAGATGGGAAATTCAAAGGGATGTGAGCTCCTGTGTGAGTCACAGAGATGGTGATGTGCATGTAAATGTGACAGCAGCATTATGCAGCTCATATGTGACAAGTGATGGAAGTCGGCGCAGTAATGTGGAACGTAAAGCCACACTCTTTTGAAACAATGGAGGTTTTAGATTAGCCTGCTGTTCACTTTGCATTTCCCAGAATGCCGATAGGCTCACTTGTGGGGGCATGCCCTTCTATCAGTGGAAAACTACCAGGCTGGGTAGGAAGCAGAACGAGCACACGCCCACAGAGGCTCTGCTGGGATGGATCAGTCGGCTTACATGCCTGCTTCATTACTCAGATGCTCACAGAGCCTCTCATCAGATTAAATGGCTGTTTCACATCAGTTACATAAGGAGATCAGATGATCTGGTCATCTGGCCAAATGCTAATCCATCCAGAGGAAAGTGTATAATTTACCCTGTTCCCCATAATTAATCTGCAGTTAACTCACCTTTCTCTCCAACTTTATAGCTAACAAGTTTGTGTTAGTTCTGAAAATGGCATCAGAGAGCAGGACCAGGCAGCATCCAGCACTCCTGGAGGAGTTTGACGTAGGGGGCTTGCTGAAGGCCCCAAGGGAGATGTTACTCTACCAGTCACATGACTTCAAAGACATGGTCACCGGGACATGGGTACATCCTGAACATACAGCAAAACATACCACGACTAAAGTGGATTCAAAGTCTAACGGTGTCCAAACATTTCTTTAAATGTAACGTGGAGGTATTTCATTCAGCCATCCAGTTTCCAAAACCGCTCATCCTATTCAGGATCGTGGGGTCTGGAGCCTATCTTGGAGGCTACGGGCACAAGGTGGGGATCAACCCAGGTTGGGGCGCCAACCCATCACAGGGTACCAACCCATCGCAGGGCACCAACCCATCGCAGGGCACCAACCCATCACAGGGGCGCACTCACACACAACACGCACGCCTATGGGCAATTTGGCAACTCCAATTAACCTCTGCATGTTTTTGGACTGTGAGGGGAAACCGGAGTATCCGGAGGAAACCCCACGATGACATGGGAAGAGCATTCAAACTCCACACACATGGAACCCTGGCGGAAACTTCAATGGTATTATTTAATTTTTCATCATTTCTAATGCATTTCCATTTGGAATAAGACACCTTAATGAAACAGCTGCCAGAACCATTAAATCTGGCCAAGGGCAGCTTATGATTAGGAAGTGTACACCACTCTTTACTAAGTATAGTATGCATGACAGAACTTGAATGTTTTGGATGGAAACCTTTCCTTTTCTGAGATCACAGCTTTTAATGAGCTTTTGTCTGTGTAAGCAGGCTGGGTAACAGGTAAAAGTGGTTTATGTCATGAACTTGAAACCTGGATCTAAAATTCAAAGGTGTGGTGCTTTTCCAAAAAGCCACTGTAAATACAGGACTTTCCTGTGCATCTGCTGTGTGTTTATGTATCAACATACGTGACTGAATATGGACAAAGACAAAAAATTAGACCCACAATAGATATTTTTAAAAATGTGTTTATTTTCAAATAAGTGCGAATTCAAATTCCATCTGGAAAAGCATGTCTGCATGTACTTCTAGGCAACATTTTTTTCCTAACAGACACTAGAGGAAGATGGTGTTTTTTACAGAATCCATTCAAACTATTGGTAGAGAGATAAATATGTAGCAATTTAAACACAATGTAAAGTTGTTAACAAATATGAAGACAAGTGATCAGCTATTACTACAAACCCTGTAGCATGTGCTAAATGATGGGAAAAGCCTTCAATGATTCATCTCAGCAGCCATTGGATCCTTTAGCCGTGAAGCTATCTTCAGTGCAGTGTAAGGATACACTGCGCAAACGAAACACAGAGTGAATGAAGTAGGGAAGAAAGACCAGTGACCCAAAGGCTTATATACAGCTCTGGAAAAAAATTTAGACCACTGTATAATTTTTTTTAAATCTGCATTTTTAAATTCTGGTTTAATGCTGGTTCTGCTGGCAGAAGGCTACACTGCAAGGCAGGCTGCTTCCAGGCTTCTAAGTCAGCTGTACGAAAAAGGTGAAGCAGGAGATACTGGCAATGACCAAAAACCAGCCAAGTAGAGGGTGGAAGCGACTCTCAGAGATGACTATCAACTTATCGAATGCATCCGATCATTAGCATTCAAACAAATCAGAGCATGACCTCAAGTGACCTTCCAAAAGAATGGAACACATTAAGTGATATGAATTGTCCTCGCAGTGCACTTCACAACTGGCTCCTCGAAGCAGGAATGAAGACAGATAAAGCAAGGAAGAAGCCCTTTATCAATGAGAAGTAAGGAAGAGCCAGTCTGCAGTTTGCAAAAATATGTGTATTTCTACACAGACACATACCCCAAAGTTCAGAAAAGTAACACTGAAAATTTTGCTGTGGTCTCAATTTTTTCCAGAGCTATATTTACAGGTGATATGAATGAATGAATGAATGAATGAATGAATGAATGAATGAATGAAAAGATAGCCCTATGACTGGAGTTCATTTTTGGCCAACAATCCCATCTTACCTTTAGTGTTAACAAGAAGGTCATGTAGGAAATAAAAAAGAAACTCTTGGGTTTGTTCTGAAATGAGCACTTATTAGCATTGTTTGCCTGGTCTTTCCCAACAATAACGGCTGTGTGTGGTCTTCAGATTGAACAAAAGACACTGGCAGCTGGGTCAGGAAGTGCAATTTAAACGTGTAGACACAACCCATACCTCAACACAAACTTGCACCAGTTAAAACTGAAAACCAAGCAGTGCATGAAACATTAGTATAAACAAAACATTACCTGACCATGAAGTAAATAAGCAAGACACCAGAATGTACAGAAGGATTTTTCCACCAGAGCCAAAATGAGAAAATGAACCAAACACAGCAATTCTACTACAGCTGCACTATAGACGAGTTGGGGGGGAAACTCCAGTAGACCTCAGAACACATAAAAACAGACAAAATTCACAAAAAGGCTTTTCTAGAACAGTTCAACTTATTAAAAATAAATACAGTCCCCAAATAATTTTGGTAATAGTAGGTATTATATACAGTGTCATACCTGCTCAAAACCTTCAATTATCTCTGTTATATCCCCACTAAAGCAGATAACGTTATAATGAACCACAGTAGCTAACTGTAAATATTACAGACCCAAAATGGCATTCCTCCCTCCAAAGGGAGCTACAAGGAGAAGTACACAAACATAAAGATCCCTAAAGAACAGACCACTAATAGAGTCAGGTTGAGGATGACCTTGATCCTGGGAGACTCATACAGCATCTCCTGAATGAGTCGCTCCTCATCCTCCACACTCCTTCGCTGGTCCTTTGTGGCTTGTTCCTTGTAACCACAGAACCAGTCCATCACCTTGACGCACCTCCCCCCTTCTCCTCCACAGCCACCCTCATCGGAGCTGTCCTGCCGCATGATGCCCACCTGGCCGTTTGTGTTGTAGCGGTCTACAGATCTAGGCGTGTCAGAGCTTACAGTGCCGTCACTGCTAGGAGCAACTAGTAGCTTTACTTCAGCCCCATCCACACACAGCTCCTTCTGGAGGCCCAGGGGAAGCTCCTTGTGGAGGCCACCAGTGCCATTGCAGTGGCTGGGGCTCTTGTCAGTCAGCTTGTAGGCCTCTTCCTTGTGCCTAGCCGACAGCTTCTCCCTGTTCTGCAGCCCCCAGATGGTTGAGCGAATAATCTGGTCCTTTTTTGGAGGCTCCGTGGCAAGGCTGACCACCACCGCCACTAGGCCAGAGAGCCAGAACAGGGCTGTGGCAACATACATATAGTGGATGCTGGTGATGAAGGTCGGCCTGTCGTCCGGCCGATTGCAGCGTGGTTCCCGGTATACGAAGGCGAGGATCAAGCGGGTGGACCCCAGAACAAAGCCGGTCATCCCCCCCCAAAAAGCACCGGTCTCATTGCAGCGTGGCCAGAAGATACCAAGGAGAAAGAGGGCTGCAATAGGGGGAGTGAGGTAACCAGCCACCTCTTGGATATACAGATACATCTGCCCCCCCTGCATTTCTATGATGACAGGGACCCAGGCAATACTGATGGCCACCATGAAGATCACAAAGAGCCTCCCAACCACCACCAGCTCTCTGGAGGACGAGCCCTTCCTCAGCATTTTGTAGATGTCCAGTGTGAAGATGGTACTGGCACTGTTGAAGATGGAGTCCAGGTCACTCATAAGGGCTGCAATCATCACAGCCATCATGAGGCCACGTAGTCCCACGGGCATGACATTCATGACCAGGCGAGGGTAGGCAATGTTGGAGCAGCCAGCTTGGCTGCCACACACTTGCAGGCAATGCTCAGGACTGATGCAGACCAGTTCATCAGGGAAGAGGATTCGAGAAATCATGCCTGGGATTACAATGATGAACATGGGCAGAACCTTTAGAAAGCCAGCCATAAGTGTTGACCCCTTGGCATGGGCAATGTTTTTAGCAGCTAACACCCTCTGCACAATGACTTGGTCTGCACACCAGTACCAGATGGACGCTGGTGTCTGGCCCAGAAGGAAGCCTGGCCATGGAATGTCCTCGTCCAGCGGCCCACGCAGGAGCCTGAGTGACTGCGGCTTGGGATGGATGTGGCAGGAGTTAGTGTAGGAGAAGTTGCCAGCTGCCATGATTGCTGTGACGTTGGGGACGGCCTGCATGTACTTGGTCCGCACACCCTCCAGGCCTCCGACTTTCACCAGACTGATGATGCTGAGACTGAGAGCCCCAGCAATCATAAGGACGGCTTGAAGGGTGTCAGTGTAGATAACAGCCACCAGCCCCCCCGTGACTGTTAGTAGGGCTGTCATGCCAATCAGCAGGATAACAGACAAATACAGGTTCCATCCCAAGGACTCCTGGATGAAGAGTGCCCCAGCATACAGGTCCACTGATAGTTTGGTGAAGATGTAAAGCAGAAGCGATAGGAAGGCAAAGTAGACTTTGAGCCGCCTGCCACCGTAGCGCTTGGAGAGGTACTCGGGCATCGTGTACACCCCCGAGTTGATGTAGACGGGGATGAAGACCCATCCAAGGAGCTGAAGCAGCAGGAGCGCGTTAAACTCCCAGGCACCCACAGCAAAGCCGCTTGCAGCACCTGATCCCGCCAAGCCAATGAAGTGTTCGCTGCCGATGTTACTGACGAACAGAGAAGCCCCAACGACCACCCACGTCATGGACCGCCCCGCGAGAAAATACCCACTCACAGTGCTCCGGTTGGCCTTCCACATGGCGAACAGGCCGACGAGCAAGACCAGCACGAAGTACAGTGCCACGACGGCAATGTCCGCTGCTTCCATAGCAGACCCCATTTTACACCCACGTTTGGAGGGAAGTTCAACCAGCTACTGAAAACCAGAAATTAGCAGAGGTGGGAAACTAAAAATACTAAAAATCAGCAGAGTGAGTTTTATAAATTCAACTAAGTGTCTGTAAAAAAAAAAAATAGTGCTTTTCCTTTGGTTTGCTGTGAGAATGGAAACTCTTGTGTCCACATGCAGGTCAAAAAACATCAGTTTTTGTTTAGAAAATCCATGGGCCATATAGTGAGAAGGCGCACAGGAGGCTGCTGCAGACCGGTCTAGCAAAGCCTAGAGTAACATTCCTGCAACACAGCAAAGACAAAGAAAGACTACATTAGACCTAGTGTGGATGGGGAGAAGGTGGAGGAACCACACCTTGTACAGCACATCACACACACACCCCGCACCAGCAAATTAACACACAAAACCAGATTCCTTTATAACAGTCATTTTATTACTTCCACTCAATGTCCTAAATAATAATTCATACAGAGGAATCATCCAATCACAGTACATTTTTAGGTACACCATTCACTAAAAATGTAGGACAATTTCTGGAGTATGAAGACAATCTTAGAAATAAAACAAACAAAAAAAACAATTGCTGTGTAAATTCTTATTATTAAATAAATGCTGTACTACAAGCTTAATTCCTCTAAAGTGAGAGGTCACTTGTGACTGATGCTAAAGTCCACCTTTAACAAAAGGTGCCCATCCCCAAAAAGCTCATGAAAACCTACACAGATAGTTTCAGTTGTTACTATTCATAACATAACCATGAACGTTTAGGTTACAAATGAAGTGGTAAGGTCAACTCTGAAATCGAACAAGTGTTTTATTTGATCCTTCAACCATACACTGATTTACCATAGCAACGACGAGAGGTAAGGAGATGGCCAACCCTACCCAAAGTAAAATAATAAAACCAAAGTAATAATTATTTTTACTCATGCAATAATAACTCCCATCTGATTTCTAAACTCCAGGTAAATTGCATGCAGTTCAAGAACACAGAGCAAAGCCTGGGTAGCTTGTTATACTGCGAGCTAAAAAATACTTAGCTGCATAAACCTGCCTGTAAAGGCAATGAACTACAGACTTAAGTTCACCTTCATCTGAATGTTTGATTTTGAACCCTGCAAGCAGTCCATCTACCACACCCCTACACTCTGCCATAATTCATCTCAGCAAATTCTGGCCTAGGAAAATGTGACAGAATGCCCACCATCCACAGCAGCTATTTACCCCAAACTCATGCGTTCAGGTATTTTGAAAAGATCTGATCCATATTAATTCAAAATATAAGCTCCATGTTTAGTGGTAGCCTCCACAATAAAGAAGCTATCGGAAGTAGGGGTATTATATGATTAAGCAGCAGTTTAGTTCCTTTCTTTTTAACATTTTGGTGCAACAGAATTGTGCTCCCTACAACAGAACAATCTAGAAGATGACCAGACTTCCACTGTCTCCTAAAAAGGGACTTCCCTCTTCTGACTTAACAACATTTGTCATTCGCAAATTTTCTTTGTTATTCTGAGAATTTTAACTAGGTAAACCTCGTTAAGGAGGGTTATCTTTATCCAAACACATGGCAGTATATAGAAACTATTTACTCAAATGCAGTATGTTCACACTGATGTGCAAAATTATCACACAGAGCAGCAAAGTGGTAAGGGGGTGACCGCTAATACCAACTCAGGCAAGAACGAGAAATACTGAGTCCTTTTCCATAAAACAGATTCACACTTAAAATAAATATACATGCTTCGCTGTTTGTAAGTTGCTCACAAACGTCATTCGGGGACTATAAGTGTACGAACAGCTCACGTAAAACAACTCAACTTCAGAGTCAGCAAGGTCTAACTGGGGCGTATTTTCAGATGTTAAAAAGTAACCGATCTGCATCTCAGGTGACCAGGTACTGGATCCAGAAGCCAGAACAGCGCCACTCTGGACGTAACCCATAGCAACGACTCCGCATCCTTCCCCCGTAACGTGTATCTTGTGGACTGACAGGCAGATGGACAGACGGGCGGAACACTGGGTGGTCTGACCTTGGAGATAAACATTACATATAAAGCAGGAGCAGACAGCGTTGGACGTTCAAAAACAGTAAACAAACCAGGACGGGGCGGCTACACAAACGGGCTCTCCACCAGGAAGCTCTATCGTTACCAGTTACTCGTGCCCCAATCGAATATTTAAGAAATATGGATAAATAGCGTGTTAAATAACGTCAGGCAGACAGTTCAAGAGCAGTTCGCCAACTGTCTCGTAGACGTGTCTGTAGTAATCGTGGGTCTGTAATAATCGCCAGCACCGAAAATCGCCATCACATCGCTTAAGGTCCGGGATAATCCGACAAGAGGACCAGCCGAACCTGAACTGGGACAAGAGCACGATGCTCTCAGGAGAGCCGCGGTGTGCAGACCCAGGCAGAGCGTCGAAGACATGGAAACTTCTAGAACACGGCCGACCTGTGGCAGCCGCGCTTCCTGGAGACTGCGACATCCAAGCGAAATCCCCCTCTAACCAGCATCCCGACGTCCCCAAGCCACTGACCCAGCCGCTCGGCGCTCTAGTAGTGTGATGAGAAGACGATTAAGAAGGCAGCAGATTCATCCCGACTACCAGTACAAGGTGGCACGTTATAGCCCCTGCGATCTGTTCACCACCTCACCACTTACGGAAGAAAATGCCCATCATTTCCGGCTTCTGTCATACAGAGTCTCAAACCCTCCATACAGTGTAACAGACGCTGACGAATGCTCACCACCCCTAGTAACGGCTTCCCAATACTAGTCCAACAGTTCACTTTCGAACCTTTAATCCTGGACGGAGCGCCTATACTTGTGAACCACCCCAAATATGCCCCATGTGCCTATTATGACCCTCACTTGAGCGGCGGTGTTTGCTATTACTTACGGGTAGGCAAGCTGCCTGGATTCAGTGCGCTGAGCCCACAACGACCGACGTCTTTAGCCATCACCGGAACACGAGTCCCAATCCTCCGCGCGCCTCTCCCTTTTAGAGGATACGCCTGCTCGAGACACGTGACGTCGAAATGCCTATCACGCCCACGAGCCCGCGTAGCTCGCCACTGTCCGATGCACCGGCTCTAAGGCGCTATAAACATCTGTTTGTAAAAATTAACAAGGTGAAGTCACAGCCATCACTGTTCGCTGTCATCTCGTACATCTGCTTTTCAAGTCCTTTGGTAAAAGTCAGATTTTCATTCATTCAAATGTGTAAGCTCAATGTAATGTGGAAGTTTCCTTTGGAAAGATGTTTCCAGAATTGGGGGTATTATGATTAAGTGACGGTGTTATAACGTCGTGGCTTAACTAATACGATTTAACGTACAATAGAACAATCTGGAAGATTACCAGATGTCATTTGCCCCAAAAAAACTACTTTTTGCTTCTCTGACGTTTTAGTCAGTTGTTTATAAAATTTTCCTGTCATTCTGAATATCCTGAATATTCAAGTCTAATATGCCTATAACCTTCATATTCTTTATCCAAATACATGGACTTATGTATTAAGATAAAATAAGTATAACTTAATGAGAAGCACGGATGCAGGTTTATTTACTTTGGCAAGGAAGCCACTGCAGGACTAGAATGAATAGACTTTAGAATAAAAATAGGTTATGACATCAGAATCAGCTGTGACATTCTGTGGAGCTCACAGCATCTTTTGGCATCACACAAAAGAACCAAAATAAAAAGGTGTTACTCATGGGTTGGGGCCGGTGTGTCAGACGTTGAGTACATGTCCACGGAATGTGCGTGTGCAGATGTTTAACCGGTTGGGTTGGATTCTTTATGGTTTCAGACATGCCATTAAAGTGTATGGCAGAAATCTATCAGCAGTACTTTTGATTACTTACACCCTCAACATCCAGTGGTAGATGATTATTAGCAACATCTACCATTAGTTCATGCAGTACTTTTTGTACAAACTCCTAGCCAGAGACACTTAAAAGTGTACAGCATTGCATTCTATCGTTCTGGATATTTTTTTCCCTCAAATTATATACATTGAGCTGTTTTGACAAGACGGCAGCAGTACTGTAACATTTTGTAAAGTGTCTTCATGTAACATAAGGAAGAATTTCTATCAGATCATCACAAGCCCCATCTTTTTCACAGTTATTTGTTTTGATCTCTTTATTTTGCATTCATGTTCAACATTAACCACCTAATGGTTCATATGTGAGATTCTTACTGCAAAATGTATTGTCTATTGTTTTGACAGCATATTTAAGTCACATGAAATAGTTTATTAATTAGTCAATAAAATTACTTATTTAGCTTCTGCACAGTTAAGGAAGTATTTCATTTTTATTTGCTTTGTCTTTGCTTCGTATCCGGAGTGTAAGGAACCCCTGAGCTCAGAAATGCTGCTGTTCGGGAGCAATGGAAAATTCCACGGTGAATCTCATCAAGGCTGCCCGTCACGTGATGTGACCTGGCCGTCCAGATCTCCGTGCACAGTGCCGAGCCCGTCGCTGCTCAAGGTGTGGAATACCGCCGGGCAAGGGCTCAACTTCGGCCTGAACATTGGGGGGGGGGGGGGGTTGAGGTTCCCACTTCCCACCCATTCAAGGGGGTCCAGGGGGTTGTATTGGCTGGTTTTAATTATTGGAGGGGGTTACAAAATTCACGACCATGCGTCGGGGTGTAAACCGTGAGCCAGAATACGACTCGACTTGGCATTTTTAACCCTTCAAGGAGTTCCAATGATATTCATTAAATTGCTGTCATCTCGGCACATAGAAATACAGCTACCCTAATCAAAACTGCATACAGCATGCATTTTTAAAAATGCTATATAGGTTCAGTTGTTCGAACAATAAATGCTTACTTTGAATGTCGCTACAATATGCTATTCTAAAACTGGAGTTCATTAAAATGTTAAAATGTGATGCTGCATTTAAAATCAAACGACGCACGACGTTCTGTGGCTTCATGAATAATTTTTTGTATTAAAAACAGAAAAAATGTTTAGGAAGCTAAAGAAATATGTTTAGCGGGCGAACATAACGAACGAGGCCACCTAGTTCTTTAAGCACTCAAGGTAAACAACACGGAGGGGTTGTAATTTTCCACTCGCTAATCTTTGTAAGGCGGAAGTAAATTTCCATTGTACTGGCATCGTAGATGATGAACTATGTCTCCCGTGATGCTTAGCGCTAGGACTACAATACCCAATGTTTAATTACTCTTACAACGTTCGCCCATCAGTAAGGAAACGTATCAACTATTTTGAGGCATCTTTAGTAGTAGTTTTTTGGGGAAATAATGATTCTTTCTGGCACAACAGGATAATCGTATCATTAATAATTGCTGTCGTATCCTAAGATTAGTCGTAACGGGTACAGGGTTGACTTGTGATTATTAAAGCCGGTTTGGTGCTTCTGAGGAATACATATACAAATATACATACTACGTGACATATACGTGAAATATATGATATATACACAAACACGCATAGAGAGAAAGTCTGTTGTTCTGCTCTGGTTTTTGGTTTGGCATGTCCCGTTTTTAATAGACAATACTCAAGCTATCTTACAGCCCTGTTTTATTTGGACACCATAGATGACCATAGATCTTGTGTATAATTTTTTGAATGGTCTGCTTCTGTGGCTGTTCTCTTTGGGAACAGAGTACTTTATTAAACATATTTAGTGTGACAGTTCAGGACGTATAAAGGTCACATGACCAGGGTAATTTCCATATGTATACACAGTTACTTGTGTACAGTTAGCAACCAAAAGAAATTGGGCGAGGTGTGTCTCTCCCTGTCCTCACACAGATCAGCCTAACCAAGGCCGTAGAAATCGATGGGGACATGTACCTCCCAACATTTAATTTGGCTTCACTCATCGCCTTTGTGTTTAAATGATTGTGTCCCCTCACAACGCCAAACTTCCTCAAATGCCACTGAGACTAACCATAACCTGTGTTGAGTACATTACCATGGCTCAGGAGACATGGGTGAACACATGGAGGCTGAACTGTGTTGGTAAACTGTGCCGGAAGATGGTTAATGGAATTTAGGTTTCACTGGTGTCATGGACACCTGCAGTTATGTCAGATTTTTCAGAAGCAGACTACTGCAGAACAGCACAATGCCCGCTAAATGTAGCAACTTGTATTTAAGAGAAGGATGTGTTATTGGACTGTAGCCTTTATGAAACCGGATTATCCAAACCCAGTGCTTCTCTAGCACTAATAATCCCATCTTAATTTCACAATCCTCTGTATCTGGATAGCATATGCAGACTTGCACTCTGCCCGAGATCCAAAAACTGATCAGCATATTCAGAAAGACTTTTTTTCCCTGAAATACATAGAGCACAGATAACATGAGCAAACTAACTTTAAAGTTGTAGAAAATGTTTTTTGTGTGTGATAGCACACATTCAGACCGAGCTGTCATTAATGACTTGTTTTAATAACAGGTTGGCATATTACAGCAATGAACACCAGGAGGCAGCCATGACACATGGTGCTATGACTTCATCTGTAGAACCAGCATGCTTTGCTGTTGTTGAGACAGCATGGAGGGTACAGACAGTAGGTAAATACAATGGAAACTATCTATTGTACAAATCATACAAATGACCTTTCTTATCCTTCAACATTTTAATATTAAATCTCTCCCATGTGACTCCTCACCGGCCCCCCCACTTTAAAAACTATTCTTTGTTATACAATTTCGATAAACTTCACTACAACTCATTAAGTGTTGTTTTAAGTGACTGGCAACACAACCACAAACTTTGGCAAATGCACTAGGATTTTCTTGGTAAGACACAAGTAGAAGACCCCTCAGACAGGAGTAAGGAGAAGAAGATCACCACTGAAAAAGAATCATAGGTGACTTGGTGGTGGCGACTGCTAAGGCAGTGGATTCACGTACCACAACTACACCCTGATCATTCATTAGACATACACACGAATGCCCACAGAGAAACACAGGACAGTAGGCCTGCCCTGGAAAGCGTTGCTGCAGCATTACACTGAAGTCTCTCTGCTGCAGATTTCCTGGGAAGGGACACGTCCTATTTATTAAGCACAATATCTTGTCTTGTGGGTCACCAGACATAATGCAGGTAGATGTTTTCACCTTCATTATAGGGTGTTGAGTCCAGGTAGGACTGCAAGATTATGCAAGATGTACAGCTTTAGTTTGTTTCAAGAATGCACTGAATAACTACATGGGCCTTACATATCTACACATAGCAGTCAAAACAGGCACTTTCCCAGATACCCCAAGTGTTGGTACCTCAACTGCAATGCATGTCCTCCTTTGCTACACCAATCTGGTTGCTGGATCTGCTAGTAATAATCTGCAATACAGCATATATAAGAGTGTGCCAGTCTGGAAATACACATGGACACATCACACACCTGGAAGATAGAGTTTACACACAGCCCATTAGAAGCTGGCAGGAGATTTTCCTGTAGAGTGATGAGATGCAGGGAAACTCAAACACCAAACCCATCACCACTAAGTCTCAGGGTTCATAGTCTTTGTAATACCAGTCACGTGTGATTTACAGTGCAGTCTCTCACAAGGTAACCTGTGATGTTTGTGCTAGAAAAAATAAATAGTAGTATATCCAAGCAACCCTACACTGCAAGATAGCAGTTGGGGAATCAAGATCTCCTGTGGATTTTATGTCTTCAGCCAAACCTCCAAAAAATAACCCAATCCAAAAATGCATGGCCTAAAGAAAAGGTCTGAAACATGGAGTGAAAAAATGAATATTATACATCATATGGTAATAAATTTTAAGACAAATTTCTACAAAATAAATAAATACATTTACTAGATATACATCTTGATGCAAAACAATCTTCAGTAAACACTATAAAAGCCGTATTCCAGTGATGTGTCAAGCCGACTTTGCAGTCATTTGTCTTACAACAATCATGAAACATACTGAAAACTCACCTCCTGACATTGCAAACTTGCTGTCATACTTAAAATCGAGCAGACAGAAATAGTGATGCGGTTCTGGTCATAAGGATGTTGGATTCAAAGTAAATCACCTAGAAAATGTGAGGGCCACTTAAAAAAATGTTTCCTTTCCAGGTAGCCACAGTAAGCATCGCTGAACCGTACCCATATAAACCCGCATTCATGCCAGCTAGTTCTACAGTCTCACTGTACAACTCCCTTTATAGCAGTGTTTCCCAACCCGGGCCTCAGGAGCCCACAGACGGTCCACGTTTTTGCTCCCTCTCAGCTCCCGGTCAGCAAAAATGTGGACTGTCTCCAGGACCCTGAGGATCAGATTGGGAAACACTGCTTTATAGTTTCAGCAAAAGCAGCAAGACCATGAACCGCTATAAATCACACACACAACTACTGAGGATCTCTTTCATTCAAATACACCAGGCAGTGCTATATGACTCACATACTATTGTTAAAATGGAATGGTCACCCTTACTCTTTGATGTGTCACATTACAGACTTGCACGCCAAGAAACACATACAGCATCTGGCTGTTAAAAATAAATAAATAAATAAATAAATAATGAGCCTTCACTTGGCACAAAGCATTAAAAAAAAAGTGTCACATCATTCTTCAAGTACCCATGTGACCTCATACAGCTGTGATTCCAGTTCCCATGTGACCCTGTGCCAATATGATGGCTATTACCATGTGACCTTGTGCCAATATGATCCGTGCACCCATATGTGTGACGCCACAGCAGCATGACCCTGTGCCTTAATAACGGCTCCTCATATTCTCCATATCTCCGTGCTCTGATTCTGCACTTCATTTACTGATTGTGTAATTGTGTTCTGTGTAATTAAGTCCTCTTTTCCAGGGATCAGCAGGTGTGAATAATAAAACCAGTTGTCAATTATGACTGTTTACGTGTTACACTACTTTCTGCATGTGCTGTGACTGACTGAACACATGAATTCATTAAAGCACTTCGTAAGAGAATTAGGGCTCCCACTGTTCAATGAAGTAAATGGGCCAAAACAATAACCAAAGAAACCTAAATGCATTCTCTTACACTCCTTTAAGAACTCAAATAACTTATGCAAACATGCTCTCATACACACACACACTGCAGCTGGGGCTATTGGACCACTGGGGTCAGGAGTGCGGACACAGGTGCTCTAGGACTCATCAAACAGTTGCAGGTCCAGCCGAACCACAATCTCTCCAGTTGGAACCTCATGCAAGAGTAGCCTCTTGGTGATGGGCCCCTTCGAACCCTGGTCCTTCTTGATATCTGCTAGGCGTATTTCTGTCCTGCCCAAGAAGTCTGCAAGTGAACAGATTGTGTCATTTAATGAGTCACCAGCACCTGAAGGCACCAAGCATGCCATCTACTTCCTTATGTGTTGCTGACTGACCATCCGGAGAGAACTGATCCCTCTCAAAGACGGTGACACACAGGACATCCTGCTCCAGGTCTTTGATGAAGAACTGGCAGTTGGAGTTCCATTTGGGGTTCAGGGTGTCCTGCATCGTCTTGGTGATGTGGCACTGAGAGGCCATGGTTACCTCACAGTATGGGTTACTCTTCCCTGTAACGTCCTCCATAGAGTTAGATACACAGCAGGCAAGTACCCATCAAGCAGTGGAAGGTACCTTTCACAAGCCACGGGCTGTGCTAGAACATGCACCATCACGACACAGGCTTACCATGAGAACGGCAGGGTTTCAGCTCGATGCCCTCCACGATGTTCACCATCAGTCGGCCAATACCAGTGGCCCTCTGAGACCGTACTGGGAACAGAGATACAGTAGCTAGAGGCACCCACTGGAAAATGGATGCTCTCAATGTGCATCACGCTCTTGCTATTAGACTTTACAACACATCACTGCAGTGACCACATAATCAAT